GCAATTATTTTTCAGTTATAATGGATGAAACATCGGATCTAGGATCTGTGAAGCAGTGTGCAATCACAGCTAGGGATGTCGAAAGTTGCAAAAAATATCGATATATCGATATTTAAAAAAATATCAATATCGGCTTCGATATATCGCAAAAAAAACATCGATATATCGATATATCGGACCAATTTTCCCAAAAATATATTTAGGTCAGCCTAGCACAGTAACAATAACAATACAAATTATAATTAATATACAATATCTCACGAAAGATGACACGCGGAATAATAATGAAATGAAAATTATCTCCCTAAAAATATACCCTATTTTCGAATGATGAAAATGATTGCAGGGCCTCTCAGGTGCCATCTTTCGTAAACAAAACTAGACAGTCACAAACTTCGTCAGAATATAATGGAATTCAGCACAACCAATTCATCAGCGAAACAGATTTACACATCATAGACAATACTAAATACAGCACAGATCATAGATATGTTGAATATCATTAATCTGAGCTCCAGTTACGATTTTTCCAAATACGAATTTAGTTAGATCGTGATATGCCGCTAATAATTAAAAAAAAATATCATTTTTGATACGAATTTCGATATAGGTTATTTTGTAACGATGTATCGATATATCGAATCAAAATATATCGGCTAACAATATCGATATATCGAACAAAAAATATCGATATATCGATATATTTTCAACAAGCCTAATCACAGCCATCTACATGGATAACGAATACACAATAAAAAGAGTTTTCTTCGACATGGTTGAGATGTCATCTGGTACAGCCGATGACCTTTTTCGGGCGCTTTTGGACAACATAAAGGAAAAAGATATACCAATTTCAAACTTAGTTGGGTTTTCAGCAGACACAACGAATGTCACGGTAGGACAACACAACTCAGTTTTTTCAAAATTAAGAGAAGTTCTACCTCATATTGTTTGCATAAAATGTAGCTGCCACATGATCCATCTGGCCGCTTCAAAAGCTTGTATGAAGTTGCCCAGGTCAATTGAAGATCTATTGCGGAACGTAGGCTCCCACTTCTGTCGGAGTTATTAGAGGCAAAAAGAACTAGAAGAAATGCAAAGTTTTTTCCAAATTGATATTCACAAAATTTTGACACCTGCTACAACAAGATGGCTGTCATTAAAAGCATGTGTAGGCAGGGTCTTAGAACAATACCCAGCTCTGGAAGCCTACTTTAGAGTAGAATGCTTGGAAGACCCGTCCAAAACTACTGACTGTCTATGCATCATTGAAAAATATTTTTACCAAAGTTTATCTTGAGTTTATGTCATACGTTCTGGAACTTCTGAATGATTTTAATATAATGTTTCAATCAGAGACTCCACTTTTGCACAAACTAAAGTCAGAAATAGAAAAATTAATCATAACTCTAGCTGCAAATTACATGGAATTCTCCTATGTTAAGGAAACCAATGCCTTTGAAATTCAATTCAATAATCCGAGATTCTACGTGTCTATAGATAAAATTTACATCTGAATTTCGGCACAGGAAACTATTAATGAAATGAAGCGCCAACAAAACCCTCCCCCACAATCAGAAATAGACCGTGCGCTTCTTGATTGCATGCAATTTTATATTGAAGCAATAAGCCAGATTAGAACCAGGTTTGATTTCTCTGACACTGCATTATTTAACATTTTACCAATTGTAGAGCCCGCCACAAGTACAAGTTCAATTTTCCCAGAATTAACTTCAGTAATAAATAGATTTCCCTTCTTAAAAGATGTATTAGATTATAAAATGTTGGTTAAAGAATGGCGGGAGTATTGCCTGATGGAGATCGATGTGCAAAACAGTAAGAATCTACCAGCGGAACAATACTGAAAAAAAGTTTTCCAAATCCAGGATATTACCGGAAATGTGAAATACCCCAATATCCGTAAATTTATTGGAATGCTGTTGATTTTACTGTTTGCAAATGCTAGCGTGGAAAGAGTTTTTAGTAAATTGAAAAGGATAAAGACCGAAAGCAGAACCCGCCTCAACACCAACACCTTAATATCCTTGATGGCCACGAGTTCGGGAATCGAAAATGTTCTCAAGTTTGAGCCGACGAAGGACATGTAGACCAGGGTCGATAATTTTAAAAATGGTGAAAAGTGAAAAAAAAATATAGTAGGATGAAACCCATTAGAAAAGGTAGAGAATATAACAAAAATGAAAGGAAAAATAAATTACGGGCGATCTGAGGTCGGGAAGGGGGAGGGGGTGAGTTTTTAAGGGTAAAAAATGGTTAATCCACTATTCTTATGGTATGGTTTCATTTAGCCAAAGGTTGCCTGGTAGAGATTTCTACCTTAGCAATAAGGCCGCCTTTTGTGTTTTTGTTTCTGTGTTTTATGTTCTCTATATTGTGTGTAATAGTGCAATAAAGAATATATTCATTCATTCATTCATTAATCTCGATTTCCGGTAAAACTGCAAGTCCTATGAGAAAAAATTAAATGGCAAAGTTGTAGGTAATAAAAAGATCTACAACTTTTGTATCGACACTTTTTTCACATAACCTCAAAATTTATGTGAAAAATGCGAATAACCTAGTTTTTGGTTTTTGATTTTTATTTTTTGCAAAAAAAAATATTTTTTCACGAAATTTGGTGAAAACTTACCTTTGTATGTCCCAAATATACAGTATTTTTTTTGATTTAAAATATTCATTTTTTCACCTTATTTTGACTTAATATCCAAAAAGCACCCTAATTTTCAATCGAAATTTCTCACGTCAAAATATCTGCTTTTTTAAAAAAGTTGGGGTGTTTTTTGTTTATTGAAATCTCTACTTTCTGATGGTATAAAAAAAATATACACTACTATGATAAATGTTAGAAAATGCAAATTAATAATGAAAAAAACTCGAATCCGAAAATCCTATTTTTAATACCTACTTACAACAACTATTTTGCATGTTTTATGGATTTGTAATTTTTCTGTTTATCAATATAACATGAAATCTTACGTTTTTCGAGTAATTAAAGTGTAAATTTTAATAAATAGTTCAAAATTATACATAATGATTCAAATCAATTTTTCGGATTGGAGTTTTTTTCATTATTAATTTGCAGTTTCTGAGAACATTTACCATAGTAGTGTATATTTTTTTATACCATCAGAAAGTAGAGATTTCAACAAACAAAAAACACCCCAATTTTTTTTAAAAAATCAGATATTTTGACGTGAGAATTTTCGATTGAAAATAAGGGTGCTTTTTCGATATTAAGTCAAAATAAGGTGAAAAAATGAATATTTTAAATCAAAAAAATTACTGTATGTTTGGGACATACAAAGGTAAGTTTTCACCAAATTTCGTGAAAAAATATTTTTTTTGCAAAAAATAAAAATCAAAAACCAAAAACTCGGTTATTCGCATATTTCACATAAATTTTGAGATTATGTGAAAAAAGTGTCGATACAAAAGTTGTAGATCTTTTTATTAACTACAACTTTGCCATTTAACTTTTTTTCATAGGACTTGCAGTTTTACCGGAAATCGAGATTAACCATTTTTTACCCTTAAAAACTCACCCCCTCCCCCTTCCCGACCTCAGATCGCCCGTAATTTATTTTTCCTTTCATTTTTGTTATATTCTCTACCTTTTCTAATGGATTTCATCCTACTATAATTTTTTTTGGTCTCAAAAATTATCGACCCTGGTCTAATGCCAGAAAAGAAATTAAAATATTGAAAAAAATAAAATCAGATGCATTTAATAAAAAAATCGTACCTTAAACCCTAAAAACTTTTGTCTATCGTGTTGTGACGCATCAGAGAGTTGTCTGTTTCACACATTTAGTATGGTTATAGTGAGAAGTTGCTGTCGACACATCGCCACACAAGTAGTTCTAACCGTACTAATAATGTATGAAACAGATCGCGTCACTAAACAACACGTAATATAAATATAATTCTGCCTTATTTTAATATTGCATTTCTGCAGTCGTCCCTTTTGCCCAAAAATCGTCCCATTTCAGCTTTCGATTCGTCCGAAACACGACGCAGGTACTGGCAACACTGGTTATATTTCTGTGGTCCTCTGTAAAGTGCTTCTGCAAGATGAATTTCCTCAAATTCGGACTTAAGCAAAACTAATAGAAATGTTTTGCTTTGCAATAAAATAACTTATATAAATCTTAAAACAAACAAAAAAGTGCTTCTTTCAGAAAGTATTTAGAAAATACGTAGGCACAGGTCGCGGCACGTAACTCTGCCGCTGAACAAAACGCGGAGGGGATAGCTGCGCATGGGTACGACTGGAGAGCCAATCGGCGCAACGCACGCCCACCCGCGCACCTCGTTTCCCGTTTCGTTTCCAAGACATCTTAATTTTTACTACTACGCATTAACGGTCAGCGCTAGTTTCGTGTCGCGATTACACCTTGTTTATAGTATTTTAAATACTTTCACAAAGGTATCTTGTATCTGTTATCTAAATACTTTACTACTAGCATCTTATATTTTGTATTTTAGATACTTTTTGGGCTATCTATTACATCTCTGATATTGATCTGGTTTTCGCTAGTAACAATAGCTCACCCTCTCCAATGTACAATAATAATAGGGAATACCCTATTATTATTGTACCCTAAACAATATTTATTATATTGTTATTTAGTAGGATTATCTGAAGTGCCTGCGGACTTCAGATAATCCTATATGTTGCCCAGGTCAAGTCGTCGGGTTTGGCAGCGGAATCTCTTCCGGAGATTATTAGCACCCCCTGCCCCGCTATTGCTCGAGTCTGGTGTAACTTATTCCATTCGAGAAAAAGAAGACGATTCAAGAGTTGCTTTCAATTTCAATATTTTTTTAGCAGAATTATTTAATTATATGTTATAATTATAGGTTTAAAAAAATACAAATGCACTAATTTTACTCTTTATTAAACATAAATAAAAATATAAATACAATTTTTTTGTAAATAATTATTTAAATTATATTCAGATTTCACACATTTTAATTTAAGAAGCAAAAAAGAGAAGTACTCGATTAATTTTTTCAATCCAATCCATTCCTTCTTTTAGGAAAAAGTTTATCCTCAACTTGTTCAACCTTTTGTGCTACTGCAGCTAGTTGTTCAGATGCATTTGAAGCTGCAGTCCCACAAGTTTCAGCCAACTCTTGTACACCATGAGATACCTGACAAAAGGAAAATATCTATAAAGGACAATCTGATTTAATGGTTGCCTACCATGAGTTTTTAAATAATACCCAACTTCTTTACCGCCGAGAAGTAATGGCGGCACTTCACTTGGCAATTCGAGTTTGTTATTTGTAAACCTGACGATTATGGGCCCGTGTTCACCGGTAGGACCACGGTATACCACTATGTACCCGTGGTCCTATCGCAGTAGGGCGATTTATATGGAAACGATAAATGTCTGTATTATGTTATTTATTTTAAATTAGTTGTAAAGTAAAATGATATTATCATAATACAATTATTGGGTTACTAAGTAAATAATCAATTAATTGATTAAACATTAAAAATTACTAATTAATTAGGAAATTTTTAATGTTTGTTTCTAACTGCAAATCCATATTGTACATTTTTTTTGAAAGATCTTAGAAAAATACACTGCTAACAATGTCTAATAGAAATAATATTAATAAAATAAAATAAAAAAGCTTTTTATTCCATATCCATGGGGTTACTTCTACATTTTATTTATGTTAGTTTGTTAGTAAACCTAAGTATTATGTTGGTTTATAGTATTTGTTAGTATAGTTTCAGACATGGATCCCATCTGGGTAAAAGCCTCCTCCATTGCTTTCCACTTTTCTCTATCTTTCCCCGCTTTCAGCCAGTCTTTGCCTGCCACAGACACAATATCGTCGGACCATCGTTTTCTGGGTCTGCCTACTTTCCTTTTGCCTTTTGGTCCGGACCATCCAGTGGACTTGAGGGAACACCCTTTTGTCAGTATATCTTGACAGATGACCCGCCCATTTCCATTTAAGTTTAAGGGCCTGTTCCAGAGCATCTGTTAGTCCAGTTTTGCTCCTTATGTCTGTACACCTAATTTTATCTATTCTCCTTAATTTTAGCTTGCTTCTTTCTATTGCTCTCTGGCATGTAGTAATTTTGTTTTTTATTTTATTTGTATAAACCCAAGTTTGACATCCGTACAGTAGGCTTGGTAATAGGCATGTGTCTACTACTGTCTTTTTTAGAGATATATCGAGATTGCCTTTTAGGATTTCTTTGTGTGCCCAATATAGAAATATTGGGCACACAAAGAAATCCTGGAAGAATCCATGTAGAATTTATTCTTCTATCCACTTCTTCTTCGTTACTGTTTTCTCTGAATGATACCTGTTTTCCTAAATATATATATTCATTTATATATTCTATATCTTTTTCTTCAATTGTTATTGGTTTATTTTCTGAATTAGTCATTATTTTCGTTTTGCTAGGATTCATGTGTAATCCCACTATTTTACTCTGTGTGTCCAGTGATTTTAACATATTTTCTATTTCTGGAGCTGTTTCTGCAAACAAGGCAATATCGTCGGCAAATCTTAGATGACTTAGGTGTTGATTTTGTATTATTATACCTTTATTCTTCCATTCTATAGATTGGAATATATTTTCTAGGACAGCGATGAACAACTTAGGTGACAGCGGATCTCCCTGTCTAACACCTCTTTCTATTTTGATTTCTTTCCCATAGTTTTCTAATCGCAGTCTGCTTACACTGTTACAGTATATGTTTTTTAAAATATTTATGTATTTATTATTTATTTCACATGTGTTGAGTGCTTTCCATATTGAACTGTGTGTAATGCTGTCGAAGGGCCTTTGTATAGTCTACAAAGGCTATATATAATGGTCTGTTGTATTCTTTATACTTTTCGATGATTTGTTCTATTGTGTGAATACGATCTATTGTTGAGAAATTTGAACGAAATCCAGCTTGTTCGGGTGGTTGGTGGTTATCTATATTAGCAGCTATTCTTGCAGTTAGTATGGATGTGAATAGTTTGTAGGTGCTTGATAGTAGACTTATTGGTCGATAGTTCGAAATATCTGTGGGATCGCCTTTTTTATAAAGTAGTATGATGTCTGAGTGAAGCCATTGTTTTGGTACTATCTCATATTCTAGAATTAAATTAAACAGGTCTGTTAAGAAGGTAATTATGATTGGTGCACCGAGTTTTATTGCTTCATTACTAATGCCGTCTGGGCCTGGGGTCTTCTCTGATTTTAGTTTCTTTATATGGGTTAGTACCTCTGTTTCTGTTATGGGATCTATTGTGAGATTTTCTCTTTCTGTTGGGTGTTCAATTTCTACATTTCCTATGTCTTCTTTTGTTTTCCTATATAATTTTGTATAAAATTCAGTAGCGCAGTTCATAATGTCATTTCGGAATTTTGTTTCTTTTTTCCTTTTTTTTTTTAATATTATTATATAGATATTTAAAAAAAAATATTAGTTTGTTGTAATTATTTTAAAAAAACAAATAAATTTCAACACATCATTTCACATCTGATGAAAGCCAGAGAGAACGGCAGATTGCTCGCAAATCGAGAAATCTGAATGCTTGAGCAAAGCTCTATTACAATTCAGATTGAAGAGCACAATACATGAGCAGAATTGGACGGACGTGGCTAGGAAAGGTGCGAGAATGGTAAAGAAAACTCGGGCCGGGGCACCATCCGGCCTGACCCTCACGCATATGTAGAGGCTGAGGGAGAGGACGCGAAAAAGACGGTAGCTCTAATGGGCTTGGTTAGTTTGACGGCTTTATCTAGCGACCGTATTGTCCAGTCAAAGGACAAGGACTCTAGCGCCAAACGGGCCAGACTCGTAAAGAGTGTAAAGAATTACATCGAAAGTGTGATAAAAACAGCCTCACGCAAACTCGGAGTCCTGAACAAGTTGCGGCGTTTTTTCACGCCAAGGCAACTGTGCTTGTTGTAAAAGACGCAACTGAGGCATTGCGTGGAATATTGCTCGCACCTCTGGGATGGCTCCGCCAAGTACTTGCTAGATTCTTTGGATAGGTTACAGCGGCGAGCGATCCGCATAATAGGCGATGAGGAGGAGAATAAACACCTCGAGCCTCTTAAATTACGCCGTGCCGTGGCGCCAGTGTTCTGAGGAGTTATCACAAATAAGACCACACGCCCCGATCAGCGCGCGCTCGAAAAATACATCGCACGGTCAAACACCGCACGCCCCGATCAGGAGCGCTACTCACGGGACTATAAGCCGTTTTTTGTGATAGTTAGAGCCTACTTTTGTATGAAGAAGTTTAACCATAGATTAACTTGGCGAAATGACCATCTCTAGAGCCGTAAAGTTTTAAATAGCCCGCAAATACTGCTTATACGTTTTATTTAATAGGCTTTCTAATGACACCATTCGGACACACCACAACCTTCCGGTTTCGCGTCTGCCAAAGTAATAACGTATTTGACTTTCTCCTCAATTTTCACAAAACAATTCGTAAAGTGCTAATAAATTTAACTATCCAAGTGAAACAAACCGTATAAACTGAAGTGATATTTAAATTCTGGTGTTAAAAAAAGTGAAATTTGCTGGTGTTTACTACAAAAACACGATTTAAATGCACAGCCAATGGTGTATATAAATACGTATAGCTAGATAACCTCAAATCATCTTCCGGTAAACCAAACTGAAATTGTCACTATCAGTCAGCTGTCAACCACTAAAAACCACAGACAACAAACTCCGAGTGGGTTGCCAACGCAAAAACATTACCAACATAGGAAAATTACTACAACTTGGTAGAAAAAGAGACGGATCCGCAGACAAAACTTATACTCGAAAAAATTAATGAAATGAAATTGGATTTCAACAAAAAAACAGAGGAACTGGCGGAAAAGTTCGAAAAATCAATCTCACTGGCTATTGACGAAAAATTGAAACCAGTTATACAAGAAAATGAGAAGCTCAAAAAGGTTGTCGAAGATTTGCAATCGAAAGTTCATCAGCTAGAGCGAGAAACACGAAGAAACAATGCGATAATTCATGGCGTCAAGGAAACTGAAAACAACAGTGCCGAACTCAGAAAAAAGTATTGGAAATTTTGAATGATGTAAGCAAAAAATCAGGGTCACAAGAATGGGACCAATGGGAAATCAGTGATTTGCAAAGAATAGGAAAGAAAGATAACAAAATAAGACCAATTAAAGCAACTTTTACCTTAGCTTGGCGAAAAATAGAACTATTAAGGAACAACAAAAGCTTTCCTAAAGGTATTTATGCAACTCACGATTATCCAAAGGACATTTTACTGAAAAGAAAAGAGCTGAAAGAAAAGAAAGAGCAAGAAATAAATAAAGGAAAACATGCTTTCATCCGATATGACCAACTGATAGTACAAGACAAGAATGAGAGCGAAACAAAGAGGAAAAGATCTCAGTCAAAGTCACCCAAAGCGGCTCAACAAGATATTGAAGGAGGACACTCTGCACCAGCAAAAATTAATAAAATACATAATTTATTTATGTTTGTTTTGTTTTTAACAAAACAAAATTTAGTACTACAGTTGCCTCATCATCAAACCTGAACGAAACTATAGACCGGAAGATAATAAATAGTTATAAGAAATGTACCTTAAATACAAAATCAACTCTCCCAACTCGGTTGGTCACCGCGGGAGAAGTAGACCAATACCCCCCAACCATTGCTACAAATACAAACAACACAAAACTACATAAAATTAATCACAACAACAATATACACATAGCAACTCTGAACACTCGCACTTTAAGAACTGACGAAAGTTTGCAGGAATTAGAAGTTGCAATACAAAATCTAAACTGGGACATAATAGGCCTTTGTGAAACAAGAAGGCTTGGCGAATCTATACAACAAAGGTCTGACTACATATTTTTCAACAAAGGCGAAATTGCAGGACAAAAGGGAGTAGGTTTCTTGATCAAACTCGCTCTAAAGAATCAGGTTATAGAATTTCTAGGAATATCAGAAAGAATTGCTGCCATAACGTTATCACTAAACAGCTACAAAAAAGAATGGAAAATTATCCAAGCATATGCACCAACAGAAAACGCCTCCACAACTGAGCTTGAAGACTTCTACACTCGGCTATCCACATACATCGAACAATACCGCCACTGTCACCTAGTGGTAATGGGTGACTTTAACTCTCAAGTGGGCGTGAGGCAAAGGGGAGAAAATCTTAACATAGGAGAATTTGGATATGGTAAGAGAAGTAAAAATGGTCAGATGCTTACTGACTTTTTACTAGAACTGCTAAATTCATTTTACAAGAAGAAAAATAGAAGCAAATAGACCTGAATCTCCCCAGACGGGAAAACAAAAAACGAAATAGATTACATATTGACAAATAATAGGAGAGCTTTCTTAAATACATCAGTAATTCAAAACCTAAACTTCAATACTGATCACAGAATGGTAAGAGCAGTCTTAAACAGAAAGAAACCAAAAAACACACGTCGAAATATTAAAAACAACGATCAACTCATTGGCGAAGCTTCGGAAGAACTAAAAGGCACCTTAAAAGCATGTGAAATAAGTTTTAACACTGAAAATATACATGAATATTACAACAAAGTAGAAGCACAAATAGACCTAAGACAACTTAAGCGAACACACATGTAATCTATTGACTAAAAGAGAATCGCTACTTCCGTCAACTAGAAAAGACTACAGGAAAATAAACCAACTAAGTAGAAACATAAGAAAAAGCATCAAGAAAGATAGGAAAAACAGAAGGTTAAGCGTCTTGGAGAAACACATTATTGAAACCGGTGGAGTGAAAAAAGCATTAAAAGAACTCAGAGAAGTTAAAGAGTGGATCCCAAAAATTGGCAAACAAAATGAAATCAAGCTAAGAAGAAGATATTATTGAAGCAGCTACCCAATTCTATCAAGAACTGTATTCTGATGTAACTTTCTCAAAGATATCCAAAGAATCCTACGGCACAGAAGAAGACGAAAACTATGTACCACCTTTATTAAATAGAGAAATAGAAGTAGCAATAGAAAGCCAAAGGTTAGAAAAGTCACCAGGACCAGACAGAATTCCCAATGAATTACTAAGAGGAACAATCCAAGAAATAACTCCAATTCTGACTACTATTTTCAACAAAATATTAAATAATAAAACCATACCAATACAATGGACAGAAGCTCACATAATACTTATACACAAAAAAGTTCCCAAAGATGACATTAATAACTATAGGCCCATAAGCCTCATGTCCAATGTTTATAAAGTTTTTGCCAAGATAATATTAAATAGAATTAGTCAGATACTAGATGAGAATCAGCCTATAGAACAAGCTGGATTCAGGAAAAATTATTCAACAATTGACCACATTCACACTATTAAACAGATCATGGAACGATATAACGAATATAACAAATCTATATATATTGCTTTCATAGACTACTCAAAAGCCTTTGATAGTGTAAGCCACCAATCTATCTGGTCAACTTTAGCAAAATAAGGAGTATCCAGAACATATATTGCGGTTTTAAGAGAATCTACCAAAACAGTTCAGCAAAAATCAAGTTAGAATCACTAGGCAAAAAAATCGACATAAAAAGAGGAGTAAGACAAGGGGATCCACTGTCACCGAAACTTTTTTCTGCTGTTTTGGAAGATATTTTCCGCATGCTCCACTGGGATGAGTATGGGTTAAAGATAGATGGAAGAAGGCTAAATCATCTAAGGTTCGCAGACGATACTGTGTGTGTGATACGATCTTCGAAGAAGACCCGAGGCTCCTGGAGAGAATGATTCAGGAATTAACCAAAGAGAGCCTAACAGTTGGACTAAAGATGAATCCTGATAAAACTAAACTTCTAACCAACTCATCTAAAATTGCTATTCAAGTCGACAATATCGCTTTGGAGTATGTGCAAGAATATATCTATCTTGGTCAAATTATTTCAGTCAGAGATCAAACTTCTAAAGAAGTGAACTCACGGATAGCCAATGGATGGAAGAAATATTGGAGTCTGAAGGAGATAAACAAAGCTAAGACCTAAGCATATCACTGAAGAGAAAAGTATTTAATACCTGTATCCTGCCATGCCTGACATATGGATGTGAAACTTGGTCACTAACAAAACAACACCGAGATAAGCTCGAATACTGTCAAAGAGCTATGGAGAGGAGTATGTTAGGAATAACAAAGAAAGATAGACGGAAAAACGAAGACCTCAGGCGGAAGACCAAAGTAACTGACATCCTGACCTGAATAGACCAACAAAAATGGAGATGGACAGGCCACATGATACGTAACCAATCAGACAAATGGAGTAAACTTGTTACCAACTGGTACCCCAGAGATGGAAAAAGAAGCAGGGGACAGCAAGTTGCTAGATGGGCAGACAAGATTAAACAGACGGTGGGAGTTCACTGGAGAAGAATAGCCCTAAACAGATCTGAGTGGCGAAGATTGGAAGCAGCATTTCTCCAAAGATTCTCCAAAGAGGCTGGACATCCTGTAGAGACTGGGGGAGGCCTTGTGTCGCTGACACGCTACGTTTACAATAAAAGGAAAAAAAAAATTTTTCAAACAAATTTTGTAAACTGGTAGCTTTAATAAAGGCTTTTTTATTTTATTTTTTATTTATTTTATTAAGTTATTTTCGCAGATGTGCGATTTTTTTGATGCAGTGTATGAGTATGTATGTAAGATGCAAGTATAAATTACTTTTGTGCATTGAATAAGAAAACTGTGCCTGACTGTGAAAAGTGGTTTGGTAACATATAAAATAATTATTACACTAATTTTGGATCTGAGTTGATCAGCTCCCTACATGCTTTGCATCTATTTATTTCACCCTTTTAGGTTCAAGCAGGAAAATATAAAAGGGAAAGAATGATCTCCATTAAACCACTAAAAAAATTATGAAACATTTACCATATCAGCTTCAGCTTTGACTTCAGCAGCAGCTGCATGCATACGGTTGACAGACTCTTGGATTTGAGGAACTTGCTGGATTGCTTCAGACTCCAAGACTGGTGCAGCCTGAGAGAATTGTTTTGATAAATACCTATGAAAAAAACTTGCAAACCTTTACCCTTTTTTATGACACTAACAATTAAAGTAATAAGAAAATTTAAATGTAAGTACCTGTTTACACCTTTGCATACAATGACAGTGGTGTTTAATTATTGGTTCTGCTGCAACCACTTCGCGCATGTGTAAATCATTTTGCTGAATCTGAAAAACAGAAAAGATCATAATATTTTGAACTATGAAAAGCAAATCAAAGCGGTCTAAACAAAAATACAAATATGTATAAATGAAATACAAACATTCTCTAGTAAATTCGGGTCAGTATAGTTATTCAACTCTGAAGCTCTGTGCATAGCTTCAGGCAGTTTTTCATAGCCTGCAGTAGCATTGCTAATTGCCTGTGAAGTATTTAAAAGATTCGCAGTTACAGTATCTCCTTGCTGGTTGTCAACTGATGCATCGGCAGCTAAACCTAGTTTGGCTTCCAGTTGTTCAATTCGGCTTTGCAAAATAGCTATAGGGTCCATGTTTTAATAAAATTCACTGTAAAATAAATTCAAACAGAGCCAAACTGCAGCTAACAACAAAAAACGAGGATTATTGTGAAAAATAACAAATGACTGTCATGAAAAAATTGTATCTTTTTTCTAATTTCAATTCAATTCAATCCACAGATAGGGACACGAACAAAGTCTCGATACTTTGTAGTATCGAGTACTTTTCCCTTCGATACCGATACTTTTGTACTCGATACTTTGTATTCGATTCTTTTCCTAAATGATTACTTTTTGGCAAGTATCGATAAATTTAAAAATTTAGATAAGCGCCTCATATTGATGGCAACGTAATGTTATCTTGTTAAATCATAGCAAACCTTCTAAAACGTTCCATTGCGTTGTTATAAAGTTAGTAACTGATATATTCAAATTCTTTCTAATCTGTGATAGTGTTTATTTTGCGCTTTATTTCGTTTAGTTATTTATTTAGTGACCATATTATTAGCAACTGTGATTGATTCGCGGTTTAGGCGCTTTGCAGACGACGGGGCGGGGCGGGCCGGTCAATTTCGCCGCGAATAATAGCACAAAGTGAATCCTATACTTCAAACGCACACAGAGGGCAAAAAGACCGCGCCACAGGTGCCCGGCGGGCAGTGGCGGCGCGGCATGTCCGCGGCTGCCCGCCGTGGATCATACAAACCAGTTTATATGCAGTAACGCAGACGGCGGCGCGGGGCGGTCAGCTCAGTCCCCGTCGTCTGCTCAAGCCTGTACTTGACTGTATTTGATTTATTAAAGTGAAAGGGTACGGCCAGAGTCACTCAGATTCAGATTCAGATTCCGAAAACAAGCGCGAGAAATATACAGTGTAGTTTAAGCAGGTTGCCTGCTGCCACTATGGCCACCCTGCTTTAAGTACACTGTTTATTTCTCGCGCTTGTTTTCTGAGTCTGAATCTGAATCTGAGTGCACTCTGGCCGTACCCTAACACAATTATTCTGTCCGTGCTGTTTGAAACCACGTTTAACCTCTTCTATAATCATAATCTTGAGTGAAGCATGCCAATGACCGCCGTTAACTGCGTGTTAGGTTCAAGTTAACATAAGTGAGTATAAAAGCGCCTACTGACTTGCCTGCCGCAGGGACAATCTAGGGTGTAAGAGTGGGGATGACCCTAAATTGTCTCCTGAATTGTGATGTGTGTAGGCAAATTGGGACAATTTTCTAAATCGGGCCTGCGGCAGGGCGGCAGGAGCGCGCGACCACCCTTGCTCACTAGATTGTCCCAACCGCCCTGCAAGTAGCCGCGTGTGTAGCGCGATTGGGCCAATTTCTCAATCAGTCGGTTAGTAGCTGTCACTCGCAGCGCACGTATTTCGATCAAAATGGCGGCAGATCATAATGAGCATGAAGTTTGGACACGAGTGATCGAAGTATATGAATATCGGCCCCACATGTGGGATAAAAAAAACCAACATTATTTATATATTTTTGAAGTTATACTTCTTTAGCCGCGTTATGAAAAAATTATGAGAGTGAAATTTTAAGATGCGCGCGCATCACTGTAACACAAAAGTAACATAATGAAGTTAACCGCGGGCGCGTTATGAAAAAATGATGAGAGTGAAATTTTAAGATTGCAACACTGTAACAGAAAAGTAACACCATGAAGTCGGCCGCTAAACCGCACATTACTCGTAAGTCTCGAAAAAAAGCTTCCAACAAAATAGTAATAGGATCTCTTAGTCGCACATGTTGGGCCGCTCGTCGCATCTGATCACTGTTTTCATATTTATAATATTCATCCACATGTTTCTAGTTTCTTAACACGTGTTATAATTATAATTTTTATTATTTTTAAAGCATGTAACTGCTTGATGTTTAAATCTAAAGAAAATATAACTAGAAAAAATTCCACGCGGACCAGGCAGCAGACGGGACTCGAACCCGCACCCTTCGCAATCCGGGCGAATGCACTGACCAATTATGCTACCCCGGCCCTCACGGACCGCGTCGAAATGATTTCGCGGTTTCCGCATAATTGGTCAGTGCATTCGCCCGGATTGCGATGTGCGGGTTCGAGTCCAGTCTGCTGCCTGGTCCGCGTGGAATTTTTTCTAGTTATATTTTCTTTAGATTTAAACGTGTTATAATGTTATAAAAATGCGAAATACCGCACATTAAGAAAATCTACCAACAAAATAGAAATAGAATCTCTTTTTAGTGGGTGCTAACGACTGCATTGTGAAGGCCTATCAAAAGTATTTATTAATCTGGAACAACGGAACCAAAGCGTGATTCAGGAGACTACAGCGCCATCTCTTGGCCATTGGTGTAGTAGAACCAAAAACCACATCTTTATTTTTTGTAATAAAGTAACAGTTATAGGTATTCATATTTATAATATTTATCCACATGTTTCTAGTTTGTATATTCGGAATACGTGTTTGAGTTTCATACAAGTGCAAATCACATATCTACTATATAAAAATAAGTCGGGTTTTCCTTCCTGACGCTATAACTCCAGAACGCACGAACCGATTTCCACGGTTTTGCATTCGTTGGATAGGTCTCGGGCCCCGTGAGGTTTATAGCAAAGAAAATTTAAGAAAAAAAATGGTTGCCTGTAAAGTCGGTTTTACGGGCGAAGATTTTACGTGACAACGTCTTTTTCTCGGTAGAATATTTATTGATATGAATATAATTAAATTGCACAATAGGAACAAGGAATTGAATGAAAATAAGAATTGCACAAATTTTAACTATAGAAATATATTTTGTTTACTAAAACATTGTACATGTAAACTTAAACTTAACACGAGAGACTCATCGTAACGTTACCGAGCGTTACACTTTTTCATAAGTGACTCCCAGCCGCAACCTAATTTAAGACGTTGTCACGTCAAAATTAAAAAAATACTTCTTTTAATCACCAAACGAAATGTTACATAAAACGAAGCCATCTGGTGACGAAACGAAGTTCGCCGGGTTTGCTAGTGTTCTAATAAATTATATTCAGTAGCGATTTTAATTGAATATTTTGATTATTTATTTATTTTTTCAAATTAAAACTGAACTTTATTGACTGTGTCCTTTCCAGACTTTTTATTAATTTACTGTAATTAATATTTGCATGCAATTCAAAACTAATTTTAAACGATGCCAAAGAAGGATAACTTCTCACGCGCCTACATATAAACATTACTTATTTACAATACATTTCTTTCTGTTGCCAATTCTTCACCCAGTATTTCCTTTTTTACGGTAACATATTTTTTGATAACACTGGGACCATCATCAACGCGTGTGTTTAGCTAAAACATACGCCCGAACACTGAATAGCAGGCATGTGTGTAGAGACAAGCCGATATTGCGCCGACCGCCCGTGCACCCTAAATTGGCCCTGCGGCAGTCAGTAGCGCGTTTAATGTTTTTTAATGATAAAAATTCAAGAAAAGTAAGTTTAATATGTAACAAATCTGAAAAGTTTCATACTTTTAAATTGTTTAAGATTTCGATCTTTTTAATTAACATTTTAATTATGAATGTAATATTAATTGTGAATTTACATGCCCTTTTTTTGTTTTTGATTATACGTACCTACTATAATAAAATTAGATTGTTTTTCTTGAAATTTTAACCGGGGGGGGGGGGGGGGGGGGGGGGGAGGTTGCTCATCAGGCCACAGAGGATCCGATCAGGCCCTAAGAAATGTACTCGATACTTTAAAAAAATGATTATTTAAAAAAATACTATACTGAAACGAAAGCTTTAATAATTTTTCAACAATAAATAATATTACTAATGATAACAAATAAATAAAACATTTCGATCAATGCCAACTTAAAGAAAAAAAAAATGGTTGCCTGTAAAGTCGGTTTTACGGGCGAAGATTTTACGTGACAACGTCTTTTTCTCGGTAGAATATTTATTGATATGAATATAATTAAATTGCACAATAGGAACAAGGAATTGAATGAAAATAAGAATTGCACAAATTTTAACTATAGAAATATATTTTGTTTACTAAAACATTGTACATGTAAACTTAAACTTAACACGAGAGACTCATCGTAACGTTACCGAGCGTTACACTTTTTCATAAGTGACTCCCAGCCGCAACCTAATTTAAGACGTTGTCACGTCAAAAAATCGTGTGATGCGTGCAATCGTACCAACTCAGAGACAGAAAATTAACAAGGGTTTTTTCTTTAAGTTGGCATTGATCGAAATGTTTTATTTTTAAGTTATCGTTAGTAATATTATTTATCGTGAAAAATTATTAAAACTTTCGTTTCACTATAGTTTTTTTTTAAATAATCAAAGTTAATTCAAACTGTGTTAAAAAATTAAATATAAATATGGATGAAGGTACAAACATTGACATTTTTTTCAACACTGAACTTAGCGCACTCTGCTGGTGCATTTGAATACTAATTCACGTTCCAATTAAGCATCAGCATAATTCGGCATTGTGCGCCACTGAGTCGCAATATGCTCTGTAATTGGAAAACCACCATTGTCACGACTTAGGGTGCGGCCAGAGTGCACTCAGATTCAGATTCAGATTTCGAAAACAAGCGCGAGAAATAAACAGTGTAGTCTAAGCAGGTTGCCTGCTTTTTCTCGCGCTTTGTTTTCTGAGTCTGAATCTGAATCAGGAGTGCAATCTGGCCGTACCCTTCGACTACACTGTTTATTTCTCGCGCTTGTTTTCGAAATCTGAATCTGAATCTGAGTGCACTCTGGCCGCACCCTTACGACGTCTGGTTGCTGAGTCCGCCGTGCGATTGCTAAATAGTCTGTGATTGCTATGCAGGATTGTGAATGGGTCCCTTAAGTCACGTCATAATTTTAGTCTGCGGCAAGTCAAAAAATTCTGTGTAGTTGTGTACAGTGGGCAACCGTCAGTCGTCTCGTCAGTCCCAAAGAGTAAAGTAAGTATACCGTCAGTCCATCAGTCAATCTTGAATTTCTTTGGTTATTTCAATGAATAAACCAACTTTAAAGTTAGTGTTGGTGTAATTTTTACCAAAATATGGTTTTCTAGAAGATCTTTCTGATTTTTGTGTGGTCAGTAAACTCGAAGCAAACAATTTACAGTAATGGCTGATGCTGCCGTGGAGACCGCTCCTGGCGATGAAAATGATGATAGTTGGCTTTACGGAGAGTCGGCTAATGAACAGATCGAGAATCAGGACGAAGAACCTAATGATAAACAGCAGCAACAGCTGGAATCTGAGGTATCTGGAACTTTTTAGTATTTAGTTGTAACCTTAAAATGAGATTGTTTTAATAAAATTTCATGTTGGTTTTAGGAAACTGAGAAGGAGCAAGAAGAAAATGACGAAAATAATGATGACTCTCATTTCAACGACGAGCACTTCGCAGATGTGACGCGAGATGAACAAGAACAAGCCAATGGTGATGCAGACAGCCAAGACAATGGCGATTCTGATTCCGATGATAGTGACGATGTCAAAGTCACCATAGGAGAAATTAAAACAGGACCCCAAGCGTACGCCAGTTTAAATATTAAAGTAAGATGTATTTGTGCTGATATGGTACACTTGTAGACAGTGTAGGATTTTTCTGAAAAAGCTTAATTTCTTTTGTAACACCCAGAGTCCTAGAGCTTTTTTTATAAAATATTTGTTAAAAGTGCAATATTTTACAATATGGATCATCTTTCCCAGATATTGCTCAGATTATTGAAACCATTGCTTCCATAACATCTGTTCTAGTGTAAACACATATCGTTGTGAAACACATTTTACTTACTGTTTTAAAGTTGCTACTTGCCAATCATACTAGTTACTAGTAATCATACTTCTCTCAGACTCTTCAAATAATGTATGTCTTTTTTAAAATACGGACACTGGATTTGGGATTTATAGTGTAACAAGGGAGAAATTTAAGTATTGCTAATATTGATAATCACTTTCCTAATCTTAGAATGGAATGTAAAGCCAAACAACAAAATTTTGCCTCACTAGCTTTTCACATATGTTAGGGTAGGTCGTAAGAAGCTTTGCGCGGACAGTCGGCAACATGCATTGGGGGGACTGCGGTCCTCAGAATGGACGCCGGGTGACCGGTGCAGGAGTATTGTCTGGTTTTTAGTGGCCCTGTTCAGGGCGTTAGGTAGGGCCCTGTTCAGGGCGTTAGGTAGGGCCCTGCTCATTTCACCCGGCTTAAGGGCTGGCTGAAGTGAGCAGGGAGGAGTCCCACACACCTTCTTCTCGCTCCCCTGGTGGTGGAAGGATGCGTAAAGCATTTCCCAAAACAAAAAAAAAAAGTAAGAAGCTTAAGTTTAAATATCAGGGAATGTAGGGTCACAACTGGCCACCATATTGGAAAACTTATAGTTATATCTCCAAACTGATTCACTTTACGTAAAAAAATTGATGTGATTCTTTGTTTACTACTTAATTTCATAACTTTTTTGTCTAAAACTCTTTATTGTAACTATTAGCGTTTTCAATTATTGTTGTTTATTTGAACACATTTGTAGTTTTTATGTTTTATAACCCTGCTCATTTACTCATTTCCCCATTATGAGTAAGCCTCAAGTGAAGAAAAAGTAATTTTATATATATTAGAATATGACAATAACATCTTCTGTATGTTACACAATAATGCAAAACTAACAGTAGTTGATATCAAAGAAATCATGGCTGAGATTTCTTAGCTTAGTTCTTGGTAGCAATTGGCTTCTTTTATTTGGATTAGCTGTCCATAATATTTGTGCAAGTACAATATGAAATATTCATTATTTGCAATTAATATGTCTGTTATTGACATAGAGTCAAATGCAATAATTTGAAACCCATTTCATCAAAATGTGGTTTGTGGTTGCCATTAAGTTGACATCATCATTTCAATGCTCTCCAGCTAAAAATATTAATTTGTGAGACCATACATTGATTGACAGTTAAAACATAACATTTAAGCTTAGAAATTAAATGAGACCCTTAAATTAAACATTCAATAAATTTTATGACTATATCTTGAGGACCTGGCGAACAAAACAGTAAGATTACATAAAATTTAATTTTACAGCAGCTGTTAAAACTGAATGACATACCTCCAGTGAGCTCTTGGCATGCTTTTTAATTTATAAATTTAGTAATTTTAACACTTGTTTTAGGCGGTTTTGATTGATAATTATTTGAGATTCAAATTTAACGGGCCCAAAACCTCTGAGCTGTAAAATAAAGTAGTTTGATAAGATGCGTAATTATACCATTTTGTTTGCCAGCTCCTCAATTTATATTATGAATTTTATCACTATTGACACTAAAAAAACAACAATTCTACATTTATATGAAACTAGCAAACCCCGCGAACTCCGTTTCGCCACCAGATGGCTTCGTTTTATGTAACATTTCGTTTGGTGATTAAAATTTTTTTTTTTAATTTTTCCTGAATTTTATTTGCTACAAACCTCACGGAGCCCGAGACCTTTCCAACGAATGCAAAACCGTGGAAATCGGTTCGTGCGTTCTGGAGTTATAGCGTCAGGAAGGAAAACCTGACTTATTTTTATATAGTAGATATAGCATCCCAGCACTTAAGATAATAGGTAACTTATTAATTTGGTGATCGATAAAACCATACCCTTATATTACAGAGAGGTGTTGGCTTAGTAGCTGCTGGTGCTGAAAAACCTAGACCTGGTGTGACTGCCGGTGGCAAAGTTACTTTAGAAGACTTAGAAGGGTCAGGCAGCATCAATGGTGTACCTGCACTGGAATTCAACATTGACACCATTGAAGATAAGCCATGGAATAAACCAGGAGCAGATATTTCAGGTTCCTAATCTCCTAATATATTTCTTATGTTAACATCAGATATTATATTTAATAAAAAAAAAACAAGATTGCTTTCTGTTATTGGTGATCAATATTGCTCCTCTGGCTTCTATCTGCTCTTTAGTCTGGTTGGAGTCATAATTAGCAAATTTGAAGAGCTGCTTTTCTGTTAAAGATTATTTCAACTATGGCTTCAACGAGGTCACTTGGAGTGCGTACTGCGAGCGCCAGAGACGTATGCGCGTGTCTGAAGCCGGTGTGGGGCTGCACGCAGGCCCCCCGCCGCGCGCCCCCGCCCCCGACATGCGGCGCCAGCCCGGTAACTATGGCAACTACACATTAATGCACACAACGATTTCACTTGGGTCATACTGCGAGACAGAGACGTATGCGCGTGTCTGAGGCGGGATGCGGCTGCACGAGGCCACCCCGCCCCGCGCCCCCAACCCCGATTTGCGGTGCCAGCCCGGTAACTATGGCAACCACACATTAATGCTCGCAACGATTTCACTTGGGTCGTACTGCTGGACAGAGACGTATTCGTGTGTCCGAGGCCGGTGTGGGGCTGCGAGCGGGTCCCCCGCCGCGCGCCCCCGCCCTCGACATGCAGCGCCAGCAGCCCGGTAACTATGGCAACCACACATTAATGCTCACAACGAGGTCACTTGGAACGTACTCTAGACAGAGACGTATGCGCGTGTCTGAAGCTGGGGTGGGGCTGCACGCAGGCCCCCCGCCCCCAACATGCGACGCCAGCCCGTAACTTGCCATAGTTACGGTCTGGCGTCGCATGTCGCACACACTTAATCTGCTGCTCGTATGCCAGTAACTGGGCTCACCTATGTGATCAAATTTATCATTTCATATCATTTTGTGTATGGCCTTTACCCTAAAAAAGCGTTATTATCGGTCGATAATATCAGATCGTTACTGCGATATCTGTTTTATATCGTAATAATGCGTCCGATATTATTGACCAGTAATAACGCGCCTATGGAGGGAAGGCTTCAGATGCAAAACTTTTTGATGTGTAACATCTTTTCTCTCGCTTTCCTGCAATCTGTGGGTGTGATTTCGTGAAATGGGATGGAAGTATGTAACAGGAAGTCGCGAAAGCGCGCGCTATTTGATTTGATTTTAGAACATAATGTACAAAAGGCTTATTCCTTTTGTAGTAGGTTTTATTCCTTATTTTACTAATATAAGGTGAGGTTTTCAAAGGTTACACATCATACGCGAATACTGTAAGGCTCGCTCGTTTTTTTATTGTCTATATTGCAATTCACATTAACATCAGTTTATTTTTCAGGTATCATGAGAAATGATGATGGTCCTCCAGTGCTCTCTGGAAACAATTATCAAGCGCGAGAGAACACTATACAGGTGAAACTTTGATACCGTTACTTTTATAATTGTTTCGACACTAACAACTGATTAACACTTTTTAAATTTATAGCAAAGGTCAATTATTCTACATAATAGTCTATAACTTCTTTTTAACAAAAACATTAATCTTATTACTGTTACTTTTATAATTGTTTTGACACAACAACTGAGTAACAATTTTTAATTTTATAGCATAGATTAATTATTTTACATAATACTCTTTAACTTCTTTGTAATAAAAGATTAAGCTTATTACTACAATAAGTTAGAACACTATACAGGTAACCCTTTGATACCATTACTTTTATAATTGTTTTGACACTGACAACCTATTAACAATTTTTAAATTTATCGAAGAAAGATCAATTATTCTATATAATACTCTATAACTTCTTTTTGACAAAAACATTAACCACATTACCACAAAAAATTTAGGCATGCGAACTACACAAGTTTATGAAAAAAAATCATGCAGATTTGGCCTAAACAAGGTTAGAAACCATGTCGATCTTTTTTGTAGTAAGACCGGAATACTTCAGTCATTGCTGTTTTTAACTTTAGATTTTGTCGTACATACGTAGATATTGGGGACTTCATTGACCAAAAAAAAAAATGGGTGCTTATGTAGGCGCGTGAGAAGTTATCGTTCTTTGGCATCGTTTAAAATTAGTTTTTAATTGCATGCAAATAATTAATTACAATAAATTAATAAAAAGTCTGGAAAAGGACACAGTCAATAAAGTTCAGTTTTAATTTGAAAAAATAAATAAATAATCAAAATATTCAATTAAAATCGCTACTGAATATAATTTATTAGAACATATGTGATTTGCACTTGTATGAAACTCAAACACGTATTCCGAATATACAAACTAGAAACATGTGGATAAATACACACATCAAAAGTGTCTAGGGATCAAGCATTTTTATGCGGATTTTTTGAGATTGAGATGTGGCTTTGTAATAAATTTATGATTTTATAAATTTATATGGATCCTTTTTGGTGCATTTCATAATTTGAATCAGGAACTGTGAATCAAATTCGAGTAAAAGATGAAAATCAGCTGTCAATATTTTCCCTATAAAAACATACAACGCATTGAAGACATTATTAGTGCTACTGTTTCCCTACTACTGATTAAAACCAACGTTATTATGGAGCGGCGACGTCATTTAAGCAGGGAAGAAATGCTCAGAGCCGTGGGAATGATAGAAGCTGGTTCCCGGCAACGTACTGTGGCTTTAGCTCTGAATACAAGTCAGAGTGTTATCAGTCGACTTTGGACACGATACCGAAGCACTGGTACCGTGGCTGAGCGCCATGGAGGACGGTATCGCTGCACCACACGGAGACAAGACCGATACATTCAAATCTTAACTCGAAGAGCTCCAACAATAACCGCCATGATGTTAGCCGTGAGGCTTCATCACTCTTCAGGGAACTTAATTAGCGACCAAACAGTCAGAAACCGCTTGCATGAAGTGAACCTTCATTCCCGAAGACCGCTACGGGTACCACCTATAGCAATGCACAATCGTAGGATTCGATATCAATGGGCTCTTGAACACAGAAATTGGGCAGAAGAACAATGGCGTTTCGTGTGCTTTTCTGATGAGTCTCGTTTTGGTATGAGACCGGATACAAGACGTATACGACACTGGAGAACCCCTGGACGCCAACAGCGATTAAAATCCTGCCAGGAAGTCCATCCTTATAGTGGTGGAACCATCATGGTATGGGCGGGTATTTGGATCGGCGGAAGAACTGAGTTGATTTGGATCAGAGGTAACCTCAACGCTCAAATTTATGCTGAGACGATTGTATCAGACGTCATCGTTCCTCTACAAGTGCAAATCGGTCCCTTATTTCAGTTAATGCATGATAATGCACGACCGCACACCGCAAGAGTTGTAAGACAGACTCTCGCCGCAGCTAACATCAATGTCCTGCCCTGGCCTGCTCAGTCGCCAGACTTGAACCCGATTGAGCATGCATGGGATATGCTACAGAGAAGAGCTCTGCCGAATATGGAGGGTATCCAATCGCAAGAAGACCTTTTTTTGTTGTTGCAACGAACATGGGCGGCCATTCCACAGCGTGATTTGGATGAACTCATTTTGAGTATGCCAAACCGATGTTCTTGTGTTGTTAGTGTTCGCGGTAGAAATACGGATTATTAATTGTTTAAGTTACCCAATAAAATTTTAGAGAAAACTGTTATTTCAGTCTTTTTTTCGAACTCTTGTGTTAGTGGTTCAAATGTCAAAAATCCCTTTATTAGGAAAATGGCAAATTTCTTTATTAATGCAAAGGTGACTTGGTTTATCGTTACTGTGACAAACGAAAACACTTTATTTGATGAATCCTTAAAGAAAATTTTAATTAATATCAATCAGGAGAAAAGTTATTGCAAAAATATATGTTGATCCCTAGACACTTTTGATGTGTGTATTATAAATATGAATACCTATAACTGTTACTTTATTACAAAAAATAAAGATGTGGTTTTTGGTTCTACTACACCAATGGTCAAGAGATGACGCTGTAGTCTCCTGAATCGCGCTTTGGTTCCGTTGTTCCAGATTAATAAATACTTTTGATAGGCCTTCACAATGCAGTCGTTAGCACCCACTAAATAGAGATTCTATTTCTATTTTGTTGGTAGATTTTCTTAATGTGCGGTAAACACAAAAGTAACGCATGAAGTTGGTCGCTAAAGCGACCAACTTCATGCTGTTAATTTTTTGTGTTACAGTGATGCGCGCGTATCTTAAAATTTCACTCTCATCATTTTTTCATAACGCGCCTAAAGAAGTATAACTTCAAAAAAAACATTTCAAAATAGTAATAGTAAGGATTTTCAGTAACAACTATCTGCTTATATTTTATGTGAAACTTAGTATTACCTAATCTGAATATTAAGATATAGCTCGTGACATTAAAGAAAGGAATCGAGACGACGTAAGATATTCTGTCTCTCTCGCCATGCGTATCGTACCTAACGTGCAAGAGAAACAGAGTCTTGCGTGGGCAATCTCGATTCCCTTAATGACGCGAGTTAGTTGATGACCAATTGACAGACTTAACGTAGGTCCGTTATATCTTAGGTGATGACAGCGGAACGACGGGAATACGGGCGTGGGCATGTTCGAGAACTAGGACCTCCAGGAGAATACTTCCCATCCGGGCCGCCTGATCACTACTACCCGCCCCACCCAACATACGAGGAGCCCTGGCGTGAGTAGTGTAGTGACGACATTAGTGACCTGCGTGTAGTAGTGTAGTGTCGACAGAAAGTACTGCCCGTCACACACCCGACCACATCTACCCGCCGCACCCGACATACGAGGAGCCCTGGCGTGAGTAGTGTAGTGACGACATTAGTGACCCGCGTGTAGTACTGTAGTGTCGACAGCGAGTACTGCCCGTCCCACCGCCCGTTCACTACTACCCGCCCCACCCGACATGCGAGGAGCCCTGGCGTGAGTAGTGTAGTGACGACAGTAGTGACCCGCGTGTAGTAGTTTAATGTCGACAGAAAGTACTGCCCGTCCCACACCCGACCACTTCTACCCGCCCCACCCGACATACGAGGAGCCCTGGCGTGAGTAGTGTAGTGACGACATTAGTGACCCGCGTGTAGTACTGTAGTGTCGACAAAGAGTACTGCCCGTCCCACCACCACCCTACCACTAGGTACAACCCGACCTACGAGGAGCCCTAGTTTGAGTAGTGTAGTAACGATAGTAGTGACCTGTGTGTAGTAGTGTAGTGACGACAGCAAGTACTACCCGGCGCACCCGACATACGACATACGAGTGAGTACCCGCGTGAAGTAGTGTAGTGTAGTTGGCGATAAGCTGTTTCTGAATATTTTACAGGTTTTAAAGTATGAGTGTAGATAAATGAACTAAAGTCACTGCGCCATGGAACTCCTCAATCTACCCAATCAAACAGTCTAACGAAAGGGACATTAATATGCTGATGATTCGTTATGTGTAGACAGCACCACGACAGCCGCCGTCCGAGATAAAATAACTGACACCACTGCACAGTCGACTTCAAAAACTATCTCAATTAAACAGAATAATCTAATAATATTTTTTAGCCTTTTCTTTATTAGCCTATTAATGGACACAGGCTTTCCCTATGGGTGGAATAGGGAGATTGGGCCATTGCCCACCACGCGGACCCAGTGCGGATTAGTGGATGTTAACGACTGCAGATGCAGCCGTGACCAACGGTTTAACGTGCCTTCCGAATCACGGACTGATTCGAGTTAGTAAGTTTTTAGTCAACCATCCAACAATAGACATCACCCCTAGCACGAACCAAAATTGAATTCGTAACGTTTGCGAGTCCGAAATGTCATTGTCAAATATGTACTGATTTTTAGTTCTCGTTACGGACTTTGTGGTGCTGCTGTTCAAGTTTCCATACAAAAATTGGACAGTGACATTTCGCACTCGCAAACGATACGAATTCGATATTGGTTCGTGCTAAGGGTACTGTAAGAGTTTCTTAATTTAAACGATCGCAGGCGAGAGCTAAAATAAAAAGCTAAATCTAATAATACGGCCTTTGATATACTGATGAGAGCTGTTTCAATCTAAAGAAAAAGTTACCTTGCAGCAGAAATACTAGAGGAAATTCGACACGGTCTCGTTGGAGTCCCGTCTGCTGCCAGGAATGCGTGGATTTTTATAGTAAAATTTTCTTTGGATACCAATGATTGGTTCTATGCTGGCAGCGCCGCAGCAGCCGCCTGGCTGGGCGCCGTCTGAGATAAAGGAGCTGACTCCGGGCCCCGCAGCCAGCGGCCCGCCCGGCCCCGGCGGCCCCGGTGGCCCCGGTGGCCCCGGCCCCGGCGGCATGGGCCCGCCCGCCTGCCTGCCGCCGCCGCACTATGCGCCACCGCCGCCCTACCGGCACATGCCGCCCTCCCACCCGCACCCGCACCCGCTCGACCGCCCCTACCCGCTCGACCGGCCGCACCCGCTGCACCCGCTCGACCGCGACCGGGAACGCGACCGAGACCGCGAGCGGGAGCGCACGCGCGAGAGGGACGACCGCGACCGACGCGAGCGCAGGGACGATGTGAGTAGCTTTTATTTAAATTGTATATGAATTGTGCTTGTTCCAAATTCAAAATATTTTTGTTCATTCAGTAAATAATTTTCTTAGAATCTTTAGTCCCATTTCTCTGATTAACACTTCGCAAAATCGTATTTTTAATGAAAAAATAAACACAAATAATTTGTTGTCATCGGTCTGACAGGAAACTGTGAAGTATTATTTTGTTCATTTGCAAAATTAAAGGATTTAATATCATACAGCCTTGTCTCAAGCCTGATCAGAAAAATAAAATCTTTTATTTTAGGCCTTTCAGTGATTTGTTATTATTAATTAGTGTCAAATATGTCATTGTTTTTAGGAGTTTGGAATTAATATTGTTTATTTATCGAAATAAAAAAAGCACGAAAGAAATACTTACGCAAATACTTTTTGTGTACATTTATTTTTGTAAAATGGAACATTTTCCTTTTGAAGCAGACATGAAGTCAATTTTTATGCTTTTAAATCTGTGATTGTTTCACGAAAGTTGTATGAGAATAATACATCAACATAGTCGTTAAATCAACATAGGAAGTGACAGAATTTTTAAAATAGTATTTTCAACTTCTCATTTCAAAATTAATTTTATTTAGAATCCCTTGTCGTGTAGTGGCTATCTACGTGAAATTGGCAGAATTGTGGGTATATCCCCGTTGAGCCATCAAAAAAAGAAAGAAGAACACTTAATAATTTATATAAAAAAAAAACAAGCGAGCATTACAGTAGTCGTGTATGATGTCCCACACTTCTGTCCCATTTCATGAAATCACTCCCACAAAGTGCAGGAAAGCGAGAGGAAAGATGTTACACATCAAAAATATTTGAATGCTAGTGCGAAATAATTATACACGTTAAGGGCAGTTTCTTAGCTATATCCTACTGTCTTTAAATTATTACATTTCAAGTATTTCAAATGAAAGGGAAATGTAGTGGCTTTTTCAAAAAACTGCAGGAAAACCGGTTCTTAGTTACCGAAGTTACAGCAATATCAATTAAGTGCAGGACGGATGGCAGCATAAAATCTTTCTAATGGCAACCCATAATTCCAGTATTTTCGTTCGTATAAATTTTCTCTACAGGGTTGTCATTAGAACTTTTTCTTTCTTAAATAAAAATAAGCTGTGAATTTTTATCCCAAATATAATATTGTCTCAGGTTAAAGTATACGTTAGCGCCCCACGAGTTATGACACTATTTTTACAAGTCACATTTATATTTTAGATACGTGAGCTGTTTTTGCCTGAAGATGTCCCCAAAATGTAAACAACAATAAATAAAAACTCGTCTCAAGAATTTCCCGATGCACACAAAGAAGTTTTTTACATAAAACAAATTTAGCTAAATCTATACAAAAATAAATAAATAAAAAACAAATATGTCATAATTATTTGCCTGTTAGGTTCTATCTCAAGACCTTTTACATTTGAAGATTGCGATCACGGTGTCGGGAGTTGGTTGGTATTTTCCCATCTCAAAAAATGCCTCTAAAGAAGTTATCACTTGTAAAATAATGTTATTTTTATTAGTTATAATTAGATAACATTTCGACTATACTATACTATATAATTAGTATAGAGCAGCCTCATCTCCGCCGGAATTAGTTAAAGTAACTATAATTACTAACACATTCAATAATAAACCGATAATATAAGGTTAATAAAATTTACTATTACTACTACTTAGTTGTATATAAAATCAGCGATCAAACTTTTGCGGTCGTAGTGTATCCAGCCGGTTTACGATAAATGCACTCGGCATCGAAATTGCTCGGCATGCGTGCGGTAAAAAATGACATAGGTCCTGCCTCGAAGGGCGCGCCGCGGCGAACTCTACTATATATTGCATTTTACGGATGATGTTTTAGGTCTTATAAAATAATAATTAATTAAGTTATTATAAAAAATATTTATATTTCAGTTCTTTGATGGTTGTGAATTCGGCTTATATAAATTTTTGATAGTTATTGTACTTTATTCAATATCAAAACACACCAATGTTCACTGTTCTCCACCCCAATTCACGAAAGCTCGAAGGACCAATGTTCGGGGTATCAGTCTGCGTGGGGTTTTAATGGAGAAATACACTGTTTAACTGTTAAATATTTTATTTTACTCCACAGTTGGGCACAAAGTTCACTTATATTTAGAAATATTTAATTAAAGTCAAAGGAAAAAGTATAAAAATGTTATTGTTAAAACTATTTAATATGTAATTAACTGATATAAAAATGTTCCGAATTTATGTTATAATGTTAACGAGTACAACTAATTGCTGTCGCGAAATGTATTGCACTGAAGTGTTAAAGTGCACGGCGGACTATGGCCCAGTTACCGCGAACCGCCCCGTGCGTCAACCTAATATGTCGCAATACCTTAGTTTTCTGGTTTGAACCGAACAAGGTAAATTATTAGGTAAAACTCGCAGAGGTTTCATGATTTATTCAAAATTAATTAGACGGGAAATCAGTATTATGGTACATTATGTAACAACAAGAACATATTTCTGATAATGTAGCATTTAATTTCAACTAGTTTATTCAATTTAATTCATAGATCTAGGCATTTGAAGATGGCATTTTATCGTTTTTCCGTAAAAAAGGTACGATAGAACGATCAGTACAAAAAAAGGATATAAATATTTTTGCAAATATTCTACATTAACTTACAATAAGAAAGGTAAATTTTTCTAAGAGGGTAAAGCAGGTGCTCAATGATTACGATTTCTTGCAAAACATGTAACAGGGGCTCTTAAGAGTAATAGTCGTTCAACTTATGTATTAAATGTCTAACCTACTAAAAAATCCTTAGAAGAAAACATTAAAAGTCACTTAAGAAGTAATTGTTTGTTTCTAACCCGTAGCCTTGTATTGAAAAACAAAATCTAAGAAAAACCATAAAAAAAAACAATAAAATATCATGTCAATATTATTGAAGTACTAATGTGACATCGTCAATACTAAAAAGTATAAACAAATAAATAAAAGCTTGTTTTCAGTTTTTTTTATCATTACAGGAAGAGCGAGAGAGAGAGAGGGATAGAGAAAGAGATCGGGAGCGGGAACGTTCGCGTTCTATCAAACCAGAAAGGATAAGAGAAAAGTAATTATACTGAATTTATATATATTTTTACGTTATAAGATTAAGCGTCCGGTGTTTATTACTATATTACTTATTTTATATTAGTCACTGACTCTGTGACTTTCAGACACAGAGGTGTTTATTAATTTTTCAGTTTGATTAAAACTGCTTCTGTTACTTGCAAAGATGCAACAACATCTAAGAACGTGACATAATGAAGCGATAAATATAATTGAACTCTCTTAAGTGTCTCTCGTAAGTAAATAATCAACTAATTAAACTGATTATTTATCTAAAGAAAGTTTAACTAGAAAAAAAAACATTCGGTCTAGGTTAAAATAAATTCCAATTATTTCATGATAAATAATGAAAGTAGATTAATGAATCTCTTATTTATAACGATAATTATGCTTAATATACTTTCATTCAAAATATTTTTCATTCTTTTTTAGAAAACGCAAGTAAGTCGTTAGTTGATTAAATTTGTTATTTTCTGCATTGTTTTAAATCTATGTATATGTTTAATTAGAGAGCGTGCACGAATTGTATTGGGGCCGTCGTTTAAAAAATAAATTGTTCCTTAGGTCGTACAGAAGAGAGCGGTCGAGGTCACGGTCGCGCCGTCACAAGTCGCGCTCACGCTCACCGCAACTCCGCGAGCGCACGCGCGACCGCGAACGTTCTCGCGAGCGCGAACGCTCCCGCGAACGAGAACGATCACGCGACCGCGAGCGCAGCGTCAAACCCAAGCCCAAGGAGAGCAAAGACAAGGACAACGATGAAAAATGAGGACTTGGAGTGTTGCACGGGGTTTCTAGACTGTAATTTAATGATAAGAGATAAAATAAAGTTGTGGTTAAGTATACAGTATACTTTTCATTTCCCTGTTAACTCCCTATATAATTAATTAGACTGCAACGATATATTGCAAACGCTAGGTATGATTAACGTCAAAATAGCGAGATCGTTCTCTTAAGAGCAGACGCGTGCTGAGACATTTGAGAAATAGGTTATTTGAAAAAACTATTGCTGTCACGCATTGGCTAATACCGTGCGATAGGGACAACATTAGTTAACGCTGTAAATTGCGTATAGCAATAGAATTCGAGGTATGGCACTGGATGATTCCCTGCTCGAAAATTAAACATGTAAGAGCAATTTATAAAATAATAAGTAGATTTACTATGCCTCTATGTTTTGCTTCTTTAGTAAATGCTCATTAAATCTCAACATTAGACGTCTTTAGCGGTGATAAAAATTTGTCTCTTTTTAGCATTTTTCAGGGCTTCTAGTTTCTTTGAAACACAAGTTATCGAAAAAAGAAAGACATAAGAGCATAGAATGAGTAAAATTATATTTTATGTATGAAAATGAATTCTTTAGTGATAAAAATCAAGGAGGAATTAGTCGAGAACGTTTGTATGGAAAATCTTTGCCCGCTTCCCCTCTTAACTTTTCTACTTTTCGTCAGATTTACAACTGATTCCTTTATTTTAAAATTTGGTACCCTGCTCATGCAATATATTTCATAAGTTTTGTACTCGTCCGTGATCAGCCCACATTTAAGTCGCTGATCCATTTTTTACTCCATCTGCAGTCACCCACTTAACATATGCAAAAAAACGAACTGAAAAGTCAAACTTTATTGCAATCGGGAGACCGGATCAAAATAATTTTTTTTGCCTTTTCTTGTTAAGTGATACTTAAACTACGTGAAATTTATTAGCAGTTGTTACTTTAACTTAATTTCGTGCATCGAATGTAAGCTGATACTCGGTCTGAATCAGAAGGAATATGTGCATTACTTTGCGCAGATAAGGGTGAATTTGCTATGTAACTGTTCTGAATGACGCTTCGACTCTGCTCTAGTATGAATTGACCCTAACAAGAAAAAAGTCCACTCAGTCCAAGCATAAGATTCGGACCTGCATCAATAGCGGAAGGTGCAGGCATAAATAAGGTAATCATTCCGTTTCAGAATCACTTCCTGGGTGTAGGTTCGAATCTGTCTGATGCCTGGACCTTACTTTGTAGTAAAATATGTGCAATTTTTGCTTTTTACCAGACTATTTTTTTTTCTCTTTTTAAAGCCGTGTTTCCACTTGTTTCCGCGTGAAGAAAACTACTTTTTGAAAAATGTCCGACAGCAACTTTCAATGCTATCGCGAGCGTATTTGCTATGCGTGTAGTTTATTTTGCAAGTTGCTGTCGGCCATTCTCGCAGAAATTTTCTTGCAGGTGGAAACACAGCCTAAGTGTACAATCAGGTAAGTGGATGTGGCACATCACTACGCCGCCACATGGACATTCCCCGCCGAACCATCTGTACCATATAATACGACACCTCTAAAGATGCGTGCGTCGTCGCTCACGGAACCGGCACAAGTTGCGTCTTTACCTACTCTACGCAATTACTTTTATTTCAACGTGAAATCAGCCTGTAAGCAATACCATTGATGGTACAAATGGCACTGATTTATCCCATTACTTCCATGAAAAAACATACTAGTATTGGCACCTGGCGTTACTTACATAATAATCAAATTCATACGTTCTGAACATCGCTAGACCAGGGCGGATACCTTTGGAAATGAAGAATCCTTCAAAGCAAAAGACGGCGTATGCCTGTATGTTCGGGCGGATGTTTGTTGTCGCCGTTTGAGCTGCCTGGAGGACCCCTCCTTTTCCGTGTTGGCGGTACATGTAGACTCTGGTCCTTTGGCCAGAGTCTACGTGTGCCTCTACAGATCCCACACCGGCGACGCTGAGACAACTCGACTGTTTGACCATCTTAGTAGGGCAGCAGACGATGCCCGAACTGACCATGCAGGGATCTCTGCCCATGCTTTCGCTCTCACGCATGACTTGACATAACTGGTTTATCAGCCCACCAGGATCCCAGATATAGCAAGTCTAGCGCCCTCTTTACTAGACCTTCTGCTTACGACCCACCCGCAGGAGTATCAGGTTGTGGTTCGAGCCCCACTGGGTTCATCAGACCATTGTCTGATATCTGTCAAGGTGCCACAGGCCAAAACCCCTCGACCATTGGTGCTCAAACGCAGGGCCATTACTGAAGAGATCGTAATGGGAATGGAGTATTACATTCCACATTCTGATCTCATAAGTAAGGGCACACGTAACCGCTGGTTCAATCACGACTGTACCGATGCTGTTTCTCGTAAGCAAGCGACATATCGCGCTTGGATCAGAGGCCGCGCTCTTAAGGATCCCGGGGTTAACTCACTGAAAGCTGCGTATAATAGTGCTTCCAAGTCTTGTAAGAAGGCTTATATCAGAGCGGATGCCCAACGTGTAGCACGTACTGGCCACGAATTGTTTACACACCCTACGGGCTCCCGTAGTTTTTGGCGTTTTGCTAAGGCCGCGCAACACAACTTTTCCCAGCCCTCGCTGCCACCTCTGCGATGTCCAGATGGGACACTAGCTCATGAGCAGCAAGAGAAAGCCGATTTGTTGGCAAAGGTCTTTGCGGCTAACTCTGCACTGACTGCAATGCACTGCCACCTACACTACCTCATTGTGGCACTACGATGCCTGACATTAAAATCAGGCAACGTGATGTTCGTGCGGAGTTGCAATCACTCGACGTCCGGAAAGCTAGTGAACCCGATGGCATCCCAGCAGTTGTTCTAAAACATTGTGCAGCGGAGTTGCCTCCCGTGCTTATGCGCCTGTACCAACTCTCTTACTCTTCGGGGCGTGTGCCGGAGGCTTGGAGAGACGCTAATGTGCAACCGCTGCCCAAAAAAGGTGACCGCTCAGACCCGGCCAACTATCGGCCGATAGCTGTCACCTCAGTATTGTGTAGTCTTAGAAAGGGTCCTTAACAACCATCTGACCCGCTAACTAGAAGATTACTCTCTGATTCACGATCGTCAATACGGATTTAGGCCGAATCGATCGACGGGTGACCTTCTAGCGTACGTGACACACATTTGGGGTGAAGCTATATACAAGCGGGGAGAGTCCTTGGCTATTAGCCTTGACAGGGTCTGGCACAAAAGCCTTCTCTCCAAGCTTCCTGCATACGGTCTGCCTACTCAGCTCTGCGCCTGACTAGCTGACTTTCTGCATGAACGTAGAATTCGCGTCCTTACGGACGGATGTAGTTTGCAGTTCATGTCAGTGAATGCCGGTGTTCCTCAGGGCTCCGTTCTATCCCCCACACTCTTTCTGCTGCATATCAATGATTTGATTCCACTTGCGAATATTCATTGCTATGCAGACGATATTATATTGTGCATGCGAGATACTTTGGACACGCGGCGGCTTGACAGGTAGAAACCATGGAGAAACGGGAGAATCTTGTCGTTGAACCCAATCTGGCTTTGGACCACATTTCCGAATGGGGTGCCAGGAACTTGGTTGAGTTCAATGCCAAGAAAACTCAGGCTTGCGCTTTCATGGCAAAAACATCGCCATTCCTTCGCCTTCCCTCTCTTCAGGGCACAACACTGGTGCTACAGAGCAATATTACCATACTCGGTATGGAAGTTCGCTCAGACCTGAATCCAAAGGACTACATTGAAACCCTCATCGAAACAGCTTCACGCAAACTCGGAGTCCTGAACAAGGTGCGGCGTTTTTTCACGCCCGGTCAACTGTGCTTGTTGTACAAAACGCAAGTGCAGTCCTGCGTGGAATATTGCTCGCACCTCTGGGATGGCTCCGCTAAGTACTTACTCGATGCCTTGGATAGGTTACAGCGGCGCTGCCCGCATCATTGGCGATGAAGAGGTAACTAAGAAACTCGAGTCTCTACAATGACGCCGTGATGTGGCATCATTAAGCGCATTCTACCGACTATACCACGGCGAGTGTTCTGAGGAGCTATTTTCACTTATCCCTCCATCACCTTTTCTTCAAAGGACCAAGCGCGCTGGCCTACATTGCCACTGACTTAGTGTGGCCACTATTCCTACATGAACAAAGAAAGGAGATTGCTCAGCTTCCATACATGTTTGGCCTAAAGACCAATAATCATGAAAAATTGTTTCCTAGATTCGAAATCTATACTTATAATAAATCTGTAGAGATGTCAATTCTGTACATCAAAATATATTTTTAAAATAACTATCAGGGGGTGATTAGTGATCGATACTGATGCCAAAAATGCAATCAGTAAATTTTTTGTCTGTCTGTCTGTCTGTGTGTATGTTCCTTATAGAAACAAAAACTACTCGACGGATCTTAACGAAACTTGGTACAATTATTCTTTATACTCCTGGGCAGGTTATAGTATACTTTTCATCACGCTACAATCAGTAGGAGCAGAGTAGTGAAGGGAAATGTTGGGAAAACGGGAGAAGTTACTCCATTTTTTAAGCTTCCGTCGCGTGTGCAGCCTTAATGATTAAAGTTACATAGAATCATGTATGACGGAAATATTCTACATAAAATTGTCTAAAAAATATCCCGCAACAGCATATGTCTATCTTTTATGGTTGACTCACAATAACACGTGTAACTCCCGATAGCTTAGCAGTTCGGAGCATTCTGATCATATTTGTTTACTCTTACGTTTATAATACTCGGTATAAAACACCAAACTTATACATGAAATAAGCCATCGCGCCGTCGCACGTGAATACTGAATCATGCTATAAGGATTATTTTTGTGTAACGGTTGCCGCGCTCGACACGGGTCGCGGCAGCGGTAGGGTATCAAAGGTCCGAGAGCGAGCTGTCTAAATCTGTTTTCTGCGTCGCTCCCCCCCTGGGGGACGATCGCTTCCGATGAAGCCTTAGAGGCCTTCCCGGCCAGAGGCAGCCCCTACGGGTGTTTTTTAGTCAGTACGAGTCTGACATAACCTTGCAGCCGGCTGTAGGGTATCCATGAGGAT